GTCTGTTGGCCCATTTTTTATGCGAATTGAGCGTTACCTTAGGCCGGATTAAGACTACCGGTTGCAGTCATACGCATTGACCGGATGCAGCTGTTTTTAAACAAAATGAGAATGCGACTTTGGTGTGGTCCTGGTGTGGTTCAGTTACGTGTCATAAGATGAAGTAGGAGTTACGTTGGTGACCTGTGAGGTATTCAGACCAGATTAAGAGGTTGGAATGAAGACGGGCTGCTGTCTGGATTCGGTGGCGTTTTTGAGGAAGCATGTACGGAGGTTGGGCTTGGGGCTTTACGACCCGGTACTTAGTATATATGCCCGTGTATTTGGTCACTTATTAGCTGTAGTAGGGATTAGCTGTTGTCACGTTTTTTCACACATTTTTCGTTTTTATTACGATTAATAGTTGTTGTTTCTCTTAGTTTAGTCTACGCAAGATATATGGCTAGTATCATTCGCTCTTAGCGACAAGACCCCTGATGATCCTGGTTTGGCGTCCAGGTGAAACCGGTAGGGTCCATCGCCAGACGGATTCTTCCGTCAGTCGTGATTTCCTTCATATTTTTCGAAACAAGTCGTGTTCGGGTTACTGGTACTACTGCTGTCTTGCTTCATTGCCTCTCTCCCTCCCTCCTTTCTCTTCTCCGTTTCCTTGGTTGTCGGCTTCCTCTCTTGATGGTCTCGTTGTGGTTGTGTTGAAACTCTGCTATCACTTGTCTTTGGTTGACTGATAGATACGATATGTCTAGGCTACGCCCGCGGCCAGAACTCTGAGTCTCTGAGTCCCTAAGGCCAGGGGCCTAGGGGTCTTTTGCTGTGAAACTTGGCAAAACGCGGTATTTTTGCTGGCAAACTACGGGAACCCGACCGGAAACTCTATTTTTGCGAAGGAAACTTTGAACGTACGACATTTTTGCTGCCAAACTTGGAAACAGCAATATTTTGAAATTACCCCTTTATTATATTTACACTGTTCCTTATGGCTTCACAACATCACTCGACGATATATTTACACTGTTCCATGTAGTGAGGGCCCACTTAGGCTGGACCCGTGGGCCGTGGATCAGTCCTCGGTCCCCTATAGTTCAGCCCACTTATTAAATTAAAAAAAAAAAAAAAAAAAAAACACGAGTTTTGGGCCATCGTGGCACAGGAATGAGGGGACATGTGTTCGGTCCTGTCTTTGGCTGGCAAATGGTCGCCCGGCTCGGTCAAATTTAGGGACCCTACTTTGACCCTACTTTGGCACTGGGTCCCAAAATTTGACCCTACTTTGGGTCCTTTTGTCCCCAGCCTAAGGAGCAGTTTTCTTTCGGTCTTCTTCCCAACCCCGGACAATCCCTATATTTTTTGTTGCTTTGACAAACAAGCTCTCGGGTTCTGCCCAAGTCCACCGCGTTAAACTTTTAAGACGTTAACGCAGAAGCGGAATCGGTGGGTCCATATGCATTTGCATCAGCGGGGGCTTAGACTCCCTGGGTTTTTTTTGCTGTTTATTGGGGGGGGGGGGTCTGCCGTAGTCTTCCTAGATTGGATGAAGAGCTTCATGAAGATATACAGAAACCATACGGAAACAGAAACGGAAAAGATTTGATGACGAATTGACGAGTCTCGGCCTCCCTCATCCCGCTTTTATTGAATGAGTCTTTCGTCCCTTAGGTACGACCAGTTTTGGATCATCCTGGCGCAAAAAATGTTATTCGGTCCTGGCTTTCTCGGGCTACTGGTAGTGCGCGGCAAAGCTCGGGGAGGCAGAGGACCAGACTACGGCTCGCGTATTTTTGGCCCCTGGAACAGTGTTTCCGGGCTGCTTCAGTCCAAGTAGGAAGGAGGCCGACGCCTTCGTCTTTCGTCTTTATATCATCGAACCCAACTGTTGTCCTTTGAGTGTGCGGCAAGTGTTCTTGCGACTCCTTTGATTTTGACTTTGACTGATAGACCGAGCCAGGCGCGGTAGCGCAGCCAAGGGAGCACCGGGGGTCAGGCACAGGAAGATAAAGCGACGGGCAACGGAAACGGGCGATGAAATTGAGACGGGGGTGTCTGAGAGCTCCACATGCCCTATGTCGAAGGTATGCTTGTCATTATGTTAAAGACGAGGAACGGAAACAGGCGGCGAAATTGAGACGGGGGTGTTTGAGAGCTCCACATGCCCTATGTCGAAGGTATGCTTGTCATTATGTTAAAGTGTTCGACTGCAATTGCGGTCTGACGTAAATGAATCTGACAGCAATCATGTCGAGAGCCGAGTATGTCGTTATTCGGGTGTAGAGGGTAGTTTCTTCGATTTCCTATTTATTAATTCAGAATTTTCAGTTTTCTTTTTTAAATTTTTGCGGAAAATTGGTTCATATTGTTGGAATAACCCCTTGGACCAAATTTGTTTGGTTTACTTTTTCCGTCGTTTTGACACCTTGGACGGGGCGGACGGAGGCAGTTAGAGGCCAGAACAGAACGTAACAGCAAAGAAAAACGAAATAAAACAAAATTAAATATTTAATTTTTATATAATTTCGTGTAAAATATCGTAAAAAGGATTAAGACAAAGTGTTCCGTCAAAGTTTTTGCAGATTTTGAGTGAAGTTAATGGGAAAAATTTGGGACGAAACGAGTTTTGGAGGAGAGCGTGCGGTTGCGCGCAAAGCTCTCAAAAACCTAGTTAGTTAAGCCCTAATTAGGGGAAATGCTAATTAGGGGAAGTCTTATTCAGGGTTTTGGGGTTGGATAATAACCTCGAAGAGGAAGGATAATATACAGGAAATACTCTGCCTTTTGTTTTCTTCGGCGTTCTCTTTTTTTTTATAATTAATTTAAAGAAAATACTAAAAATAATAAAAAAATAATAATTAAATCTTGTTTTATTTCATTTTTATATTCAGGCGTTTTTTCTTTCGGGTTATTGAGTTAGGGGCGGGAGCCCCCAACCCCATCCCAACGGGGGGAGGGGAAATACTGCCAAAATTTTCTTGACATTTTGTATATTATTTCGGATTAATTAGGAAATAAGTAGAGAAAATAGTCAAAAAGTGGTTAAAAATTAAAAAAAATATATGATATTTTTTATCTTTTTCTATACTCCTTCGGCGGCTATTTTGAGGCCTTCGGCCACACCCCATCCCCATGGGGGTAGGCGAAGTGCCGCCAAAATTTTTTAAAATCTGTCGGGGACCCTTGGAGTCTATCAATTTCACCTAAAGACATATACAAGGAATATAACTATATGTAAAATAAGAAGGAGGGTGTAACTTACGTAAACGTAGTTTTTGTAAATTAAATACAGTTAAATACAGAAAAATTTCCTAGGTAGGAAAAGGGGAAGGGAATTGGAGTAGAAAAAGAATACGGTTGTTCCCTTACCCCCTCTTAAGGGTTGGGACCAGTAACGGGCATTCTTCCTAATTAAATTTTATTTATTTGGTATTTATTTAATATAAATTCCAAATAAATAGTTAGCGGGCAGCGGAAAGAGAAACGGAAAGTAGGTTTTTGAAGATTAAAAGTAATTGCTGCAACACTCTCTGGGGGAGACCTTGTATGCCCCTAGGCAGTGGTGGAGGGCCAGTAGGTTCTTGTATATTAAAAGTAATTTTTATTAATTTAAAATAATTAAAATTTCTTAAAAAAATATTAAAATGGCGTAGAAAAATAGCGGGAAAAGGGTTAAGGCCTCCTAATTTGGGTACTTAGATAGAGGGTTGACATCACTCAGGAGGGGTGACCGGAACAGTCGCAGGCAGCGTTCCCTCGAACGGCTTGTATTTGAGGGAACTCGACTATAGGGCCTGTTTGCCTTGTTTAGGGCCGGGATTCCGCCGGTGGTATTATAGGAGACTCTTGGGAAAGATAGGAGATAGCTCGACAACGTAAAATCGGGGTTCCCAACGAAGGGAGGCGAAGCGGTACCAAATTTTTCCTAGAAAGGACAGTTTTTTTTACTATCTTTCACCTTCTCTATCCTTCCCTCTTACTACGTTCTCTCTAGCCATCAGTTGGATGTGGCCGCAAGCGCAAGTAGAGGTCTATGAGGCCAGCAGCGCTTGGGACGTGGAGCCCCCTGAACTCATAGAAGGGGATCTGGTGGAGCTCACGATTCCTGCGCGCAGCATCCGATATGCTGACGGCCAGTTTGCGTGGAGGTCCATAGTCTTGTCTGCGGACGTGTGGCTTTGAACGCACAGAGAGCACCGCGGCCTGGACAAGGAGCGGGTGTAGTGAGAGCCTACCTGTACTTAGGACCGGACGCGGTCAAGAAGGCCGTGCTGAACCTCGTGACGACAGAGACTAGTGACGCGGTTAGCAGGGCCCTACGCTACGTGAGGGATGAGGTCGCCGCCTTTCGAGCGGAGGACTCGAGCGACCTGTTGACATTACTTCACGGGCGCCCTCCTCTTGATATCACGAGCGAGCTCGTGGTGGCGCGAGATCGGTTTTTTCCATACAGCGTTCGGAGTCTGCGGGCGATAGTCCCTGCGTTCGTTGTAGAGGGTATCTTTGAAGGTATTGGCGGAGTGGTCGAGGCATACTTAACCTATCAGGATCTCAAGGTCCTCGCGAGAGGGCCTGACGACCTCGACTACCTCTATTATTCGCTTGCGACCGGCGGGCCTCGTTAGGGTGACGAGAGGGTTCAGCTTATAGAGCTGATCCGATCGATAGACGGCGAGTGGCCCCAGTCTCCGTGCGATTGGGATTGGCTAGACCGTGAGATTCGAGCAGGCCCCGAGTACGTGACTTGCATCGGGTGGCTCTTCTCAGTTGACTGGGGAAGCTGGTGGAGTGAGGACGCTGGGCGACCTCTGATATACGGCTATCAGTTGGCGGAGTACTACGAGGTTATAGGACAGACGCCATACCTCGTCGAGGACGAGTTTGACAACGAGGGATGGGAGCGAGACGACGACGAGGACGCCTGGGAGGCAGACTGGGTTGACCCAGAGAGTGAGGTTGACGAGGAGGAGATCGACGTTACGGACACCCATTTCCCCAGGATAGGAGTAGTAGTTCGGGCATAGGAGGCGGAGGAGCACATTAGGTGCGACGATTGAGTGAGCTTAGCGACTGATATCGACCGATAGTGGAGAGCGATTCGATGGTAGAGCAGGTCAGTGGAGTGGAGCTTCAGATCGACGACGCCAGATGGCCTAGACCTCCAGATACAGTAGCGCCAGGCAGGGTGGTGTTAGATCTGCCGGCCAGAGGGGTTTTCGCGGATGCGATAGTGAGCCGATGGTCCTCGACGGTGTTAGCCCTAGACGTACACTTGTGGACGTACGTCATCGAGACATTCGAGCTGGACAGTCAGAGGTGGCGACGACCTGGCACGACTAGTATAGAGGTAGTGGGGCACATCTACTACTCGCCGGAGGTGCTAGCAACGGTCTATTTTCACGGCCTCGTGCACGATCATTGGCGAGAGGAGCAGACCGTGAGGAGGATTTTACTGGCTCGAGCGGACTCCGCGCGCGGCGAGGTAGAGCGGTTGCACGGGGAAGTTCGGAGAGTGACGACGACCTTCAGGATTGGAGGACACTTCCCATATCCTAGCATTCGACTGCGTGTCACACTTCCATGCTTCGTGGCGGGGGAGCTTTGGGGACTGAGGCGTCTGGGTGAGATCTACTTTGCGGCTCTTGACTTGGACGGCCTCTGCCGAGGATACGATGATAGGGACTGGGTGCTGTATGCGCAGTTTGTAGCGGGGCCGTTTGTAGGCGAGCGAGGGCTCCAGTTGATCGAGTTCCTGCGGGACATTGTACCTACCGGGAGCCCTGACCTATACTCTCTGTACCAGCCCCTAGCTTTCTGGACGGCACTAGAAAGAGAGGCTCAGAGGCCTACAAATCAATTAGTTGGAGTCGGACAGCTGTTAGCCGAGACTCGTGAGGAGAGGCCGGGCCATCTCATCTCGACCGGGGAGGTTGAGGAGTATTACCGGCAAGTATATCTAGAGGCTGACGATCTTGCATGGTACGCTGAGGATCGGGATTGGGAGGACTTCGATGACGTAGACCCCCAGGACGACGAGGACGAGGGCTGGGGACATCTCCTTCAGGCCGAGGGACAGGAGGATATCCCATGGGGCCAGAGGGTAGATGAAGACGGAGACGAGGATATGTCAGATGCTCGAGACGACTAGAGGCAGGGCATATCCGGGTGTGGCTTAGAAAAGGGAGTAGTAGAGAGACGGTAAGTAGATATCTTTAGGCGAGACGAGAGTGGCAGTAAGAGCAGGAAGGGATGGCGAACAGGGATACACTAAGGGTGACTGTTTTCCTACGACGAGATAGGACGGGCGGCTGGGAAGGAGAGGCGTTCGATATTGTTGAGCGACAGATCAGACTTATGACGGAGCACGCCCTGGAGATACGGAGAAGCCAGAGATACGTCGGGTTTACTATCTACTACCTTGGAGCAGATGGGAGAGCGCACAACACCTACTCGACCATACTGGACCTGAGTGGGAGAGTTGTCTAAGGAGTTAGCAACGTCGAGAGATAGGGAGTGTCGAAGGGAGTAGGGTGACACAAATCGAGTGGCAAAGTGGAGATGAGGAGTGACTCGGCGGCTTGGCTAGCTTATGTCCTCTCACGAGAGTCCGAATCCTATAGCGTGAGGAAACTTGTAAGACCCAGAGAGACGGTTATTGGATACGATATTCCTCTTCCTATGGGGTTAGAGGAGACTGGCTGTGTCCCGATACGTTACCTTGGGACGTGGCTGGCAGAGGGACTTTTCCTTTGGACGGTGATACTAAAAGATAGACGACCCAAAATGACTCATGACCTAGAAGGGTTCGGACATCTGATAACGGGCAAAGCTCATGATTTAGACATAGGACTGACACTCGCAGGGGCTAGTAGGGCTTGGTGGAGAAACGAGTCGTTGGCCCGAGTGATCGTTAATCAGCAACTGGCGAGACTCTCTGAAGGAAGGTCGTATTAGAGTTGCCTGGTATACGGACCTCCGCATCCGACCCACTACCCGAGAGAGGGTTGGCGATTTGGACTTCCTGCGTCCGTGATAGGGCAGGCCTATAGGAGCGTAGATCGTCTGAGTATAGCAGTCGACCACACACCTTACGCGCTTTGGGAGGGCTTAAGCATACTATGCCATTTGTGTGAGGTGGGGGCCACCCAGCAGAGAGCAGCTTTACGACATCATAGACGTTACTTCCTGGGTGGACTGTCTGAGGTCAGTCGATCTGATTAAGGAGACGAGCGGAGATAGATTACGTGGGGCTAGAGGATGTGAGGTTTCTCTTCGAGGCCGCAGCTTAGGGAATGCCGGGAAGGACGACAACTGTGATGCGCGTAGATAAGCAACTGGTAAGCACAGGGTACACTGTGACGGTACTTCTCCGAACGTACATAGATGAGGACTTGACGGTGAGGGAGTGCCGACTACGAGCCAGGGATTTGATCCACGAGCATACAACTGATGTACTGGCGCAGGTGACCTTCCAGACCTCGATTGCCTATGATGTGATGATATGGTCTCATGGTTATATGCGCGCGGAACACTACCACGATGAGACGGTAGCGGAGGCTAGAGCAAGGGTGTGAGGATGAGATGGAAGGAGATGTGGACTGAGTATGGAAGAGGAGAGTGAGGCGGTCCGAAGAGTGAGAAAACGCATTAAAGAACCATTCTTGAACCAGGTAAAGGAGTTAGGGAACAAGATAAGGGAGATCGAGTCGAGCCAGGACGAACGCAAGTTGCGTAGGGTTGAGCTCGCGACGAAAGAGTTAGGGAGTTTGTTCAGGGAGGATAGAGAGATTATCCAGGCGTGGAGATCAGACTTCTGGAAAGAGTAAGGCAAGGAACCTGTCGCGCGAGGGAGCTAGGAAAAAGTCTGTAGAGGACGTAGCAACAGAGGACAAGGTAACGAAGGGAGATAGCAACAAGACATGAGCGAGACTGCCCTACGCACTACGGAAAGGTACTCGTTGCATGTGGTAGGGAGACTGGACGGACCATTGGTGTTAGTGATCGCAGAGCTCCAGCTCCATACCAGGTTGTATATAGTTGAGGAGGCAGAGTATGTTCGCCGTGCATTGCGTGAGGTTAGGGGAACAGGACTTTGAATCGGAGTGGAAGGAGGACGAAGGATAAAATACGTATTGTGAGTAGCACCTTTTGAAGAACGGTCTCAGATAAGGGCATGGTACGAGACGACCAGAGAGGGTGAGAGGCTGAAGATAAGTGAAGCCAGGAAAGCTGGAGAGCTAGGGAGAGTTGTAGTAGACGGAGCAATACTCAGGGTGCTAGCCGCTCACGACCGATACTATAGGGAATCGATAAAGACTTTAGAGGTCATAAAGGATAGTGGAGATGAGGAGGATTTTGAGACGTTCTATGATATATTGGAGTTGTCGGCAATGAGACTACGAGCAACTATAGCACTGACTACCCTCAGATACTAGACAGGTGACCTTATAGCTGTCTGGGAGTTAGAGAAGGAAAAATAGAAATTGAAAGCTCTTGGAAAGATAGTGGAGGTCAGTAAGGTCAGAGGGGCCGCTTTAGATGGCAGTAGGAGGAGAGTTTCCTCCTTTTGCGGGCTACCCGATTCAGAACGGACTAGATGATCTAGCAAGGAGGACGGAGATAGACGCTCGAGGACTTTTGAGGAGTGCGAGTCGGGAGACATTAGTTAGGCTTGGGACTGCGATCTGCAGCAGGAGTAGAGATCCTGTCACGGGAGTAGTGCAGATCAGGAGAGGCGCGACCTTGTTGGCAGAGCCCGAGAGAAAGGTTTACATAGACACCGGGATTCTTGGGATAAAAGGAGAGCACGAGGTCCGCGACTGGAACGGAGTACTGTTGGCGGTAATCAGAGCAGTCGAGGGCTAGGACTGGAGACGAGCGCGAACCGTGATAAGTAAACAAGTCCGGGCTGCTGCAACTGTCATAGGTACGGGCTGCGAGTTCTGTCCCAGGTTCGGGCTACTGCAACTGTCATAGGTCCGGGCTGTAACGCCCGGCGAGCCCAACTACAGCTTCTGGTAGCCTATGGAACCAGACACGATAGGGCCACAACCGACCACGGTCGAAACAGGAGAGGAGTACATGACATCGCCCGACTGAGCACTGAGGGATCTGAAGAGGCGAATTAGGCAGGGGGCACCGCTGAGATGGGCCGACCAAACCAATGACGGAGAGCCCGATGTAATGGGTGAGTCGGTCATGACAGAGCCGCAGGAGGCTCTGAAGACTGGAACCTCCAACGCTCGACGAGAAGCGATGACACGACGTTCCCCCAAGTATGAACGGAGGGAAATCAGGGCGGATAGGCACGGGGACGACTGGAGAGAGAGTTCACGAGATTCCTATTGGAGGGACAAAGATAGGGATAGAGCACCGCCCCGGCGTGCCTTCGACCCCCTGACGGGGGAGTCTCATCCACTCCCTTACGAGAACAAGGATCGCTACATTATTACGCACAAGGCCTCGGAGCCTCCCACTTTCAGGGGCTACGGTATCACAGAATATCTGGAGAAGTGGGAGCTTCATGCTAGCCAGAGTCAGTGGTCGGAGGAAGAGATTATAGAAAATTTCCTATTTAACGTGGATCCAAGTCTCGGCAAGGAAGTTAAGGAAGCCCGACCGAAGGATGGGAAATGGACAACGTATAAGAAGAACCTCATTGAGCTTTACAAATTAGAGGATAACAAGTACTCCATTAAGGACCTTGAGACAATGACTTAAGATGAAGATGAGAGCGTGCGGGCATTTGGGATGCGTTTCCAGAAGATCTCTGACATGCTGATGAAGAAGGGAAAGATCTCAGAGGTCGAGCGTTGTACTATCTTCATTGGACACCTGTTCAAAGGTAGACAAAAGAGTATACTTAGAGATCTCCCGCGCGATAAACTTGATTTCCCTGAAGTCCTAAAGCTCACGATAAAGGCAAAGGCAGACGACTACAAGGACTTGGTATGGAGAGGAATGAGGAGACGTGACTTCTCTCTCTATAAGGAATATGTCACTGATAGATGTCCTGATTTCAAGTACTATCCCTGGTCGAAAAAGAATGAAGCCGTGGCTGAAGAAGTGAAGGAGATAAGGGACATGGTAAAGGGATTGACAAGACAAGTTACAGAGATTGTGACCACCACAGGAGCCGCGACTTACCGGGACAAACCCGGAGGGCCCTATTCACTTCGCTGGGACCGGAGGAACATCGATTCCTGGAGGAGTGTCGAGGATAGAAATCCTTGAACGCTGACAGATTATCGTGCAAGGGAAAGGGAGAGAGGCGATGAGTCATGGCGACGTAGGGATGATGATATAGACAGGGAGCGCAGGGCTCGCGAGACGTATGGGCGAGCTAAGAGACTAGATGATTACTCGCGTAGCCCTCACTATGAGGTTGATGAGAGTAGAGGCGACACTCGAGGCCGGTGGGAGTCAGATCAGGGTCGGCAAGACGGATACAGGGACGACAGACATGAGAGATCAGACCGAGATGGATATAGGGACGACAGATATGAGAGGTCGGATCGAGATGGATATAGGGGTGGCAGGTATGAGAGAGGAGATCGAGACGGAGACCGACGAGATGACTCGCGCGGATGGTATGACTGCGGGGAAGCGTGACGATTCGCGGGGGTGGTACGACCGAGGAGATCGACGCGATGAGTCACGCGGGCGATACGACCATGGGGACCGCCGGAATGACTCACGGGGACGATATCAGCAAGGAGGATCCGGAGGAGACCGCCGCAATGATTCGCGCGGCCGTAATGAGAGAAGGGGATATGGCGCGTCATCCGATCCACATACAAAGTCCCCAGACCCCAGAGCAGCGAGGGGTTCGACCTCCAGGAGCGCAGACGACACGCCACCCACTCCCAGGAACTCTTGCGTCTACTGTAGAGGGGATGATCATATCAAGAGAGACTGCCCAGATCTCAAACGGGCAATAGATAAGGGACTTGTCGTGCTTGATGACCGCAAGTACGTCAAATGGGCAGATGATCTGGGAGACGTATCGATGTTCCGTTCGATGAAGGAGAATGTTGAAGCAAGGAGAGTAAAGTCGAGTAGAGGAAAGGAACCGGTTAGGAGCCAGAGCATCAAGATAACTTTCGAAGGAGATATGGCAACCACACCCATAAAGGTGGCAGCTACCAAGTCGGCAAAGGGGTCAACATCGAAGAAGACTGACACGGATTACGTGATGACGGAGAAGGACGGACAACGGATCGATGGAGAGGAGGTTATTCTTTCACCGCGAAAGCGGGGAGTGAATAAGTTCTTGATGAAGAGTTCGCTGGATGAGATTGACACGGTCGAGCCACTGAGACGGGCCCTTCGGCAGCCCATGCAGTGCTCTATTTTGGAATATCTGGCGGCATCCAAGCCGACTTGCGACGAGTTACAGATGATCATGCGGAAAACTCGCATACTACCTCTATCGGAGGAGGCTCAGGTGACTCCTAAGGCNGCGGCATCCAAGCCGACTTGCGACGAGTTACAGATGATCATGCGGAAAACTCGCATACTACCTCTATCGGAGGAGGCTCAGGTGACTCCTAAGGCGGATGCTCCTACTGTAGCAGTATCGGAGGTGACTGCTAGAGCAGATCGCATGGCGACAGTCCTTCTTGATGGGATGGAAGGTGTGCCTCCAGACAAGTTTTACATACTTGGTAGTGGGACCGTGGAGGCGATCCTAAACGACGGAGCGGTACTAGATGTTGTGATCGATAATGGCAGCGAGGATGTCATTATAGACGAGGATCTGGTAGAGCAAGTTGGGCTGGGACTCAATAGGTCATACTTATTCGAGATAGAGATGACTGATGGGAGAAAGCAACAGATCACAGGGGTTTGTCACAAGGCAGCCATAGAGGTCCAAGGGGTACGTGTGACCCTGCCAGTCTTTGCAGTCAAGAACTGCAGCTCTGACCTGCTCTTGGGACGAACGTGGTTGAGCCATGTGCATGTGGGGACGATAGAGCGACCGGACGGGAACCAGACATTGTCCATCAAGAAGTTAGATGGGGCACGGATTATGATTGAGACAGTGGAGCCTCGAGATCTGAGGAACAGAGCAGTTCTCGCTGTGGGTGCAAGACCCAGTGATCACATTAAGTCATCCCCTATCTCCGGTCGCGCGGTGCGATTTCGCGTGAAGAAGTATGGACCTCTACTCACAGAAGAAGAAGGCAGGATTGTAGAAGTGGAGGATTTAGGGAGTCGGCTGATGGTGGACGACAACTCGTATCCAAAGGAGGCAGATGAGGAATTTGGCGGCGTGGTATTTGTGTCTTTTTTAAGGGCACAGCCCCCTATGGGGGGCTACCCAAGCGACACAAGCGAGTAGCTCAAAAAGTTAAGCCAGCGGCGGTGGGCCGCGAGCGATCTGCGCTGGAAGGGATATCGGAAGAGGAGATTGCAAAGGAAATCAAAGAAAGAAAGAAAAAGGAGCCGCAAAGCCTAACGGAAGAGAGAATAGCAGGGATGGACATCGAAGATGGAAACCTGACCCCACAGGAGCGAGAACGTGTGATAGAAATCCTAAAGACATGTGATAAGGCTATAACTTTGAGCGACGCGGAGCGCGGTAGGGTTGACCCTCGATACGCTAAGCCAGCAAGGATTTACACAATTCCACATGTTCCTTGGAATGACGCATGATGGAAATACGCCCAGAAGGAGAAGGAAGAGGTTATCGCTTTCCTGAAAGAGAAGATGGTTTCTCATGTTGCAGAGTCATCTGACAACGCTTATGCTAATCGATGGTTCTTCCTACGAAAGTCAAATGGCAAGATCCGGTGGATCCAGGACCTTCAGAAGGTCAACGCGGTGACGATTCGAGACGTGGGCTCCGTGCCACACGTTGACTTTTTGGCTGAGGGCGCCACGGGCAGGTCGATTTATTCAGTTTGTGATCTGTTCTCAGGTTATGACGAAGTACCGCTCGATCCCAGGGACAGGCACCTCACGGCTATGCACACGTCATTGGGACTCATACAGATGATGGTCGTCCCTATGGGTTGTACTAATGGGGTAGCCGTTTTTCAGAGAGCCATGGTGACCGTCCTCAAAAACTTTATACCTGACAAGGTTGAAGTTTTCCTGGATGACTTTCTTATAAAAGGACCAGCAAAGAAAGATGAGACAGAGGTCGTGTCAGGGGTTAGAAGATTCGTCGAACAACACCTAACTGATATCTGCGCGATACTTAAGCAGCTAGACAACGCAAATTTGACAGTCAGCGGAACAAAGAGTCGATGGACCGTATCGATTATTAAGATCTTAGGCTTTATCTGCGACTCGAGAGGACGCCGAGCAGATCCTGCGAAGCTGGACAAACTCCGAAACTGACCGTTCCTGTTACATAGTGCTACCGAGGTCCGACAATTTCTGAGAGTAGTCGGTTACTGGCGGATATTCATACGGAGGTATGTGGAGAAGGATGAGCCATTGAGGCTACTCCTTCGAAAGACAGAGAAATTCTACTGGGATTCTTCGCAGGAACTCGCTATGCAAGAGCTTAAAGACGAATTTAAGGAGGGAGGGCGCGTACTGGGCGTGCCATTCTTTGACGATGAGGCTGAGAGACCCTTCATAGTATCCACGGATGTTGGACCTTGTTCAGTAGGTGGATTGCTGTTTCAGAAGGACGCTGAAGGGAAGGAAAGGCCGTTGAGATTTGAGAGTAGGACGCTTAATACGGCTGAGCAAAACTACAGTCAATTCAAGAACGAAGTGTTAGCTGTTCTGTGGTGTCTAGACACGTTCAGATATTATATCTATGGACGGCGGTTCATCTTAAGAGTAGATCCCACAGCGGTCGCCTCTGTCCTCCAGAAGGACTTTAGCCTGACGGACCCGACCATTGCACGATGGTTAATACGGATTCGGCTATATGATTACACAGTTGAGAGATATCTGGCACTAAAAATGTCGTGGTAGATGGGCTTTCGCGGATCCCTCTTGAGGCCGAGCGCTCGATAGTAGCTGGAGCCCTGACATTGGCGGAGTCGAGACGCGCCGATCGATTTCTGGTTAACCTCTACGAAGGCAAATACCGAACGATCAGGCTACATTTGTCGGGTGAGGAGAGTCAGGATTCAGATATCCGGAGACAAGCGTCCCAGTACTGACTTAGAGCGGGCCGTCTATTCCGAAGGCCAGTCGGCTCGGGGATGCCCTTACGAGTAGTCTGTGATCCTGAGGAGAGACAGACGATAGTTGCGGAGCTTCACGACGGGGTAGTCAGAGGACATAGGGGAGTCAAAGGGACCTATGAAAAGGTACGCAGGTTGTACTGGTGGGAAGGACAGTATAAGGACGTCGAGAGATACTGTATAACCTGCGAGGAGTGTCAGAAGAGAGCTCTTGTGAAATACAAAGAGCCACTTCATCCATCCTATCCGACCAGGCCGGAAGAGAAGGTACACATCGATCTGGTGAAGATGCCGAAAGGAGTAGGCAATATGAACTACGTTGTGAACATACGAGACGACTTCACTGGGTTCGTGGACGGTAGACCTATCAGGAGTAAGACGGCAAGGGAAGTGAAGAACTTCGTCCTAGAGTACTTATCTAGGTATGGTTGTGTCGGCAAGATAGTGATGGACAGAGGGGCGGAATTTCTACCTGACGAGGTTCAGAGTGTATTCAAGATAGCCGGGGCGAGATTTTCGATAGCCACCGCCTACCACCCACAATCGAACTCTCCAGTAGAAAGGGGACACCAGACTCTGATAGCGTCACTATCCAAGTGGCGCAAAGGTAAGGACAGTGATTGACCACGATATTTCCGATACGCAATATGGGCGGACAACGTCACGGTCCGGGCTAGCACTGGATACCCGTCATACACCTTGTGGTTTGGGCGGCATTGTCCGCTCCCCATAGAGTTTCACGCCGACAGCTGGACAACCGTCGACTGGGCGGAAAGGATGTCTTGAGAGGAACTCATAGCTGCCCGCACAAGACAGATAGCCTACGGTCTGGAAGACAACCTTATGACAGCAGCAGATCGTCTGGCAGTGGAGAGGGACAAAGGTAAAGAGAGATGGGATAAGAGCGTGCGGATCAGGAAAGAGAGGGTGAGCGTAGGAAATATGGTCCTTCTCTACGACGCAACACTGGAGAGGATCTGGACCGGAAATCTCGCCAACAGATGGATGGGACCTTAGAGAGTGGTTGAGGCGCTCGACTGGGGGGCGTATATGATAGCAGAATTAGACGGATCCAAGTGGAAGGACCCAATGGCGGGTGCTAGGTTAAGGCTGTTTAGACCCAGGCTTGCACCCACCTTATCGCTGACATGCCCGAAAGGGAAAGGGAAGGCCAAAATGGAGGATGGAGCCCCCTTGAGACGGTTCGAGGCAGGGAAGAGTTCTAAGAAGAGGAAAAGGGTGGAGAGAAGGAAGGTCAAAGGGTTAGCATTAGGAAGAAAGAAGAAATGGTTATTCGTGCTCAAGAGGGCCAGACGGAGAGTTTGCATTAGACAAACTGGAGGGTCGGCACCTTTCTCGGACCAACGTCGGAAGAAAAGGGGGATTCTACCAAGGGCGAAATCCCGAAGGAAAAGGAAAGTCAAGAAACATCCTCTTAGCCCCGGAACTCATAACAAACTGAAACATAAGACAATTAAACGCCGACGTGGGCATCCTTTACGGACAATCACCCTGAAACTCGTCCGCTTCGTTTGACGAAAGTGGATAGGGCTCGACGGGGGCGTCAAGAAGTGGTCCGGGCTAACTGTCAGGCGGCCACAAGCAATGCCCCGCTTGAAATTTGCGGCTTTGGGGCTTAGGCTCATGGACAAGTTCGTGTTTTGACGGTACTCTGCTAAGACCAGGCAGCAGAACTTAGGGGAACTCAGGGCGCCCCTGATTTTGGGCGCACTGAACCTTACGAGTAACCCTCAAAGACGGCGAGATGGGTGGCCGCACTCGGCGCTTCTAGGGACCGTCATTTCCAGCCGTTCAGAGGGTTAGACCCGGATTGGCCTGCCACGGAGAGGCATCGCGGGAACTGACCTCGCCGCAACGTTTTTGCAGCATACGACCGGGGCCGAAATGAGGCCTTGCATTTTTGTCTATTTTAGTACCATAATTAAAGATGGGGAAGAGGGATTAAGACCGGAAGGGGAGAAGAGAAAAACATAATATCCCTTAATTTTTTTATTTTTCACGGCATTTAATTCTAGAGGGGATACCCTTGTAATTTTATGTTCCTGGCAATGAAGTTAAAAACATAGAAAAAGATTAAAAATGGTAAAAGAGAAAGAAACAAAAGGAATTCGGCCATTTATTTAAACTTTCTTAGAATTTAATTTTGGGGAATTTACGGTTAATTTACTATTTCTGACGATAGAATTAAGGAAAAGGAAGAATGATTAAAAGCGATGAAAGGGACGGGAACCCATGACTATTGGGAGATCGGCCTAATTTCGCCTCGATTACCCGCCATCAACTCTGACCCCAGATTGATCATTTTCTCTGGATTCTAACAGTTTATCCTACTCCCCGATAATCGGAATTCCCTGCGTCACTTACCTGATTTGCCTGATCACTAACCTTACCGACTGAGTGTGCGAGAGGAGGCTGCATCGCCAGCATGGGACGATATTATCTTGGTATGACCCCGGTATCTCGTTTAGTCCGGACTCCGGATACATGGTTCCGGGAGGTTCGGCGACATTCACGTTTTTCGGGATTCAATGATGGACGACGTGTTCCAGGCTCGATATTGGTTCGACGTCGTCATGGTACACTGTACGGCATCATTTTCAGGCTCGGTACTGGATCGGTATCGACACGGCATGAGTCACGGGGACCCCGGATGATTATTTCAGGTTCGGCTTCGGTATGGTACGAGTTAGAGCGAGCCTGACTGAGTGTTCCGGGTTTGGCATTGAATGGTACAGATTGCTGAGATATAACGTCGCGACAAGTTCAAATTGGCTAGTTCAAGGTTTCGGAATTGGTATGGTGACGCCACAACTTGTTGATTTCCGGTCCGGGACAGGCTATTATTCACGGTTCGGTTCAGTACGGTACGGATGGGTAATGCTGCTGAAAGACTCTGTCTACCTTCTTACATTCCTTGATTCGGCATTCCCATGGCACACCGCAACTCGGTACCACTATTTTGGTGTGTGTACTAGCCTGGGACACTTACGCACGTTGATCAAGCGATTGGTCAAAGATTGCTACAGTTACTCCGGTTCTATGGTACTGTATGGTACCGTCAACTGCCGGTAAGGGCTCTCTATCGACAATGTGGTCAGCGGCAGATAGAAGTGTTAACCTGTGGATATATGCTGACTAAGGGGGAGTTGGCCGTTGATCTGTTTTTTTTCAAATCTATGGAATTGGGCTCAGTTTGGCTGGCTCAAGGGACTAATTTTGCTACCTGACTGCGTTCTATGAGGCTGGTGTTGCAGGGTCTGAAGGGCCA